GTGTGCTGTTTAATCCTTCCACTCCTCTTTATTTAAAAAACCGTTTCCAGTATCTTTCTCTTACCCGTAACCTCAGCACTCGCTCTCTCTTCCGTGCTGCAGCGTCAAAGATAAAGATAGCCAAGATGGTCGCCAACCTTCGTAGAAACGTGGCACCTTAATAGGAAGATTCTTCCTCGCACAACTTAATTGAGGAAACGGTTACCACCTGTTTTTCCGCACCGATACGACTTAAGGACTCTCAATAAAATAGCCTAGTCTTTAAAAGACTTGCGCATCTGCAATTCCACTGGTGTTGCAGATGTTCATGGGTGGCGATAGTCACTTCCTTCAGGTCCGCTCCGCGTCTGCTCGCGACTGACCGCGAGGCACGTGCCAGTACACTGTCACACAGTGTATGTACATGTCGAACTACATCCAAAGATCAGCTGCACTCGTGAATTGCAAGCCCTTTACTTAGACTAACGTTAAGACAGAAAAGGAATTTTACCATCTAGATTTCGTAAAGTTCACCAAAACGCAGCAGTGAGGCGGACTAATTATTGCATAACCTTCCATAAATCAGAGTAGCCCTGAGTAACCCCAACCTTACCTTATTTTCAGCTCTATCCCTGAGCGGGCGCTATCTCTTAGCTGGGTCCGATGACAATGCCGTTCACTCTTGGGATACCCTCAAAGTTTGTCACACAGGTATAATTTCAATTACGTAGGTTAAGGTACCGTTGTCACATAAAATACTATATTATATGACAGACATTTTCAAAAATGGTTGTTTATGACCAGTTATGTCTATATTACAGATACCTCAATTTAATTTATCTGATTTATATTTTGATATTTTTATTTAATTAATTATTTGCTTATCAAAAATTTTTCAGGAACTCTTAATGGACACGAGAATAGAGTGACATCAATTTCAGTAGCACCCAACGGCATCGCGATGGCTAGCTGCTCCTGGGATCAAAGCGTCAGGGTTTGGGGCTAAAGTCGCATACACTATCCAAGAAAGCATATAACTCTGGATGTGGCCTTTGTAAAGAAACTTGAGGAAGAAACCAGATCTAGAAAATACTGATAACCGCATATAACTTGAAATAATAAATAAATTACGATTTATATACTAGTCAACAAGTACTTTTTTGTTTAACTTGTATTGTGGTTAACTGTAAAAAATACATTTTTTTTTCAAAATGCAACCATCATATAATGTAAACGTGCAAGCCAATGTTTCAATCGATCGGGCAAATATTAAAGTTTAGATATTAAAGTTTTTCCTAAAACTATAATATTTTAGTATGTATTAATTTTAAATATAATATTTTATCTACATGTGCCTAATATTTCATCAACAAGTTGTTGTACAATCAACAGTGGATTTTTAAAATGTGAAACGTAATAACCTCAAATTTAAGCTTACGATAAATCATTTAGCTACATAATTTTTTTTATTTATTTAAGCCTTACGACCCGCCCCGGCTTCGCCTCTATTATATAGGTTAGGCTCTATTAACGTGGCGTTATTTAAATTTAAGAAAATGAAACACCGTTTATTTAGAAAAAAAAAACGTTTTTGTTTTTAAAAAAAGATTTAAATACAGCCTGGATCTTGTCTCTCTATCTGTTCGTAAGGTTTTACTAACGTTACTGGTTGCGCCGATTTAATTAACTATATTAGCTGGCAATATCCTTCCTCCTCACTTCCGATTCCTTCCTACGCGGGCACGCTAATAGGAAGCCAGATTCGTGGCGTCATTTTGATCATCCAATGAGAAAAAAGTGAAAGAGGCCGGAACACGCCGCCGGCGCAGACCAGAGTTGTCGACAGCACCTGTGGCACTCGAGCCACAGAACATTTCGTAGTGCAAATAATTTGTCGTCACGCTCCACCGCTGTTGCAACGCGGTGTCACCAGCCTCGAGGCCTGAGTAGGAGGCAATCAGAGGACCCACCCCAAGTAAGTGCCCGCTCCTATCTTGAGCTGTTCTCATTTGTTGTTTTTTCCTACAGCAGCTCATGCTCCTGTCATGCCAGCTGATATAGTGAATTAGGTCATAGCAGAGTGTATCTTCTAAAACCCGCCACGTGCCATAACCATTATCCTGTTTGGTTCATAGCCAACCACGCTGAATAAAGTCCATTTTAGTTACATCTCGCACCCAATAATTTGGGCGTGTGCCCCTGTGGCCTAACCATTTTGTGGTTCCTTTACTCCGGATTCGAAGGGCAATTTCGTCAACCCACCATTTTGTGACCATCCGTTTTCCGGATTCGAACCCAGGAACCCTATCGCCGCACCAGTAACCAATTGTAGAAAAAAATCAACTTGGAAAACCCCCACAGTTACTAACTATATAACTCTAAGATTAACAAAGAATATATCTAAAAATAAATTTGATCTGAATTTCATGTATATGAATTTCATTACATGTATTCCATGCAGATAATTCCAGATTGTTTTTTAAATGGAAGTCACAAACAAACTTATAGTTCACCTGCTGCCAAGGGGACAATGGCGTTCTTTGAAAAAAAAAACCGCTGTGCACAGAGATACAATACTCAACAGTTATAGGCTTGAATACACTGGCGTAGACTATAATTATATAGACTCATAGAAATGATTGTTATGAAATTAGCGTTTTGTCGTACTGACCACTTTGATCTGAAATATCTCCTCTTTGGTTAAGAATTTCAAATTCAAATTTATAAATTCATTTAGCTGGTGCATTTGAGTCGACTGCTGTGACTACTTTGCTCAACTGACACAAAAATGAAGGGATTCCAAATCGATTCATTACTTCTGATGAGAAATGGATACTGTATGATAATCGGAAGCGTATTGTCAGTAACTGCAAACCATGAAGGAAGAACTAGCTGCTAAACTACCGAGATGTCAATCGCTCTAGGCCACTGCTGCTTCACGACCACACAAGACCACACACTGCACAACAATCAACCACTAAGTTAGATGAGCTACAATTGGAATGTCTGACACGAAACATATTACCATATTTTTTTCCGGAATTTAGACAACTTCTTACAAGGAAAAAAATTCAACTCTGATGCGGCAGTACAAACCGCCTTCAAAGAGTTTATTGATTCTCGTCGCCATGGTTTTTTAGTAAAGGGATCAATGAACTACCTATGAGATGGCAAAAGTGCATAGATAACAATGGTGCATACTTTGATTAATGAAATATATTTTACAAAAAAAATGACTTTATATTCCTCCCGTACAAAACGGGATCATATGTAAGGACTTATTATATTATGATACGTGAACCTTTCATTTAAATCAGACAAATTTATGTGTTTTTATTATGTTATAAATCCACTCCGCAGCTATATTATGGTTGCAGCACGAATGGGTCGGAGCAACCAAGGAAAAACTACGTTACTCAAATAAAACCCGAAATAGCAGCAAGATTCTGCTGTTTTACATATGGGGAGTGGCGAGTGGCGCAAAACGATCAGAATTATAAAGAGAGTTTTCCCAAAAATTAGCCCTCTTCTAATTTGCACAGTCAAGTTCACGATGAAGACATTTTTATACATGGTAGAACTCTGAGGATATACCTATAGTTGTTTTTATAGCATAAGGATGACAAACGAGCACACAGTGCACCTGATGTTAAGTGGATGCTGTGGCCCATAGACATCTACATTTATTTTCAATTAAAAATCAAAATACTGATGCGTTGCCAGCCCTGAGGACTGAGATGGAATGCCTCGTTTCCAGTTAAAAGGGTCTGTAGCACGAAAATGTTGGCTCACCGGGAAAGGACAACGCTGTCACAGAATACTAGCAACAGTAACATAGCAGCTTAATGCTGCTGTGTACAGTGAGTGTGTAGAACCGGAGACGCTTTTACTTGAAACGAGGCATCATCTGCAGTTTGATTCTTAATCGAGGATAGATGTAAATGTCTATGGGCCACAGGATCCACTTACCATCAGGTGAACTGTGTGCCCGTTTGTCACCCTTATTTTATAAAAAAGCTTATAAGTTAGTTCCAGTCAACATTATGGAGAATGAGTACTCTCAGGGCCCACCAATAATTTTGTGTCATCTATCTGAGGTCATTCGCACTATCTCCGGAAACCTGAAGACTGGCGTTACGTGGCATGGCGGTACCACTGACGACAGGTGACGGGCAATTTAGAGCATCAACGTCCACGTCCACGATAACTTCCGCCCTTACATAACTAGCAAATCGTCTTTAATAAAGTCCAATATAATATTGTAATTTTTTTATAGGATAGTGTGACAAACGGGCACACAGTCCACCTGATGGTAAGTGGTTACTGCGACCCATAGACATCTACATCTATCCTCATTACAAATCAAAATGCAGATACGTTGTCACCCTTCACCTTAAATTCAGAAATAGAAACACAAATTCATCCACAACTTGGCTGAAAATTGGTCTTTTCTGTTTAAATTTCCTTGTTGTACAGTTTAATTAAATGCCCTCCGTAATAAACAATAGTTTTCGTAGTAAATTTTCACCGTTAAATAACCAATTTTCATATAATTCGTTTTCTTATAATCGTATTTTCATAGAATTTTTAAACTTTTTAAAATCTTCGATTTCTCCGCTCCTTTTAGATTTATAAGGCCCATATCGTGTAGAAACTGCCATCTATGATCTAGCAAGCTATGATGGATTTTTAATGGAATCTCGAATACTGGATATTGTGTAATAACAATTTTGTAAACATCTTGTGGACTTATTGCATTTCAACAATGCAACAACAACAACATTTCATTACCCGAACACGCTTACATAGTAGCGAGTTGCATCAAGATGCTACCATGGAAAAGAATATTATTTTCAATAAAAGTTACGAAAATTACTTACGTGTTGTCTATCACTATATCGATAATAGTCATATACTTTAGTTTGCAATCTAAAAACGTAGTGGACAACGTTATAACAGATATTAGGGTAAATAAAAATAAAAGTAATAAAATCGAGCCGCTGAAATATTTGCGAGATGGGATGAAGTACATTCTCCTTTGGACAAATCCCAAAAACAAACCAGAAGAAAACGCCGATAGAACTTTGTTGTTCTCAAGGAGAAACTGCGCTTGGAACAATTGTTATTTGACTGAGGAACGTAAGCTAATTGGTAATTTTTCTAAATATAGTATCATTCTTTTCAAAGCAGCTGATATGGAATATATTCAGAATTCACTGGATCTTCCTAAAAAGAGATATCCGAATCAGAAGTACGTTTTTGTAAGTGAAGATTTTGGTGCCTCATATTCCACATGTGGACGACAGTGGGACGGATTTTTCAATTGGACGTGGACGTACAAATTAGATTCTGATTTAATTTGGAATTATTTCGTAATTAGAGACGTTAACGGTAAAATTATAGGGCCGAAGAAAAATATGAATTGGCTAAAACTTAGAGACATGAAACCAGTAGACAGCAAATTCATAATGAATTTACGTTCTAAAACGAAAGTAGCGGCGTGGTTTACTTCAAACTGCAAGACACAGAGCCTCAGGGAGATATTTGTAAATGAATTGCAAGTGTACCTTGATGAATATAACCTAGAAGTAGATATATATGGAGGATGTGGTAAATACCGATGTCCTAAAATACTAATGAACAGATGTCTGAAAATGGTGGAGAGAGAATATTATTTTTATTTGGCATTTGAAAACTCTTTAAGCCAAGATTACGTCACGGATATTATCCTGCATGCTCTGAATCATAACACCGTGCCTGTTGTGTTAGGCGGAGCGAATTATACCAGGTAAGAAAACTATGTTAAACATTCTTATTTTAAATAAGTATCATGGCAAACGAGCACACAGTACACCCGATGGTAAGTGGATGCTTTGACCTATAGATCTATCTAATCTAAAAATAAAGGTCTATTCTCAATTAAGATTCAAATAGTAGATCAGTCACCCCTGACAACTAAGATGAAATGTCTCGTTTCCAATAAAAAGGGACTCCATTTCTCTACATTCACCATAAGAAAGCTATATAGAAATCAATCCTCGATTAAAAATCAAAATGCAGATCAGTCACCCCTGACAACCTAGATGCAATGTCCCGTTTCCAGTAAAAAGGGACTCCACCATAGTATGACAACTCTAACACGTATAAAAATCCAAACTCGATGTTGGATTTTTTTTCTGCCTAGAAGTACGCCTAGGTACCTGTAGTAGTACCTGTAGACGGTACGACGGAGTAACCTACAGAAGACGGAGACGGTGTAACCTACGTCTAGGTCTAGCGCACTGCTGCTTTCCGGTCTGAATAGCTAATATAATTACAGGCTGTGATAGCCAGTTACCATTAAGTCAACTGTAAATTTTTTACACTTCAGTTTTATTAAAAAATATTTTTCAATAAAAGTGATGTAAAGAGCAAAAACGGAAAAAAATAGAGCAAAAAAAAGAAAACCTAAAGAAGAAATTTCCACACAGTCACTACCGAAGTCGATTCTAATAAGACAGTTTATCGAAGAATTACGAATAAATTCACAGATTTAAAAACTATTAAGTAACTGCTGTTAATGTGGAAACAATTTCTATTTAATTTTATGTGGGGCCTTACTTTTTAATAAAAACTAGCTAGTACCAGGCGCATTGCTGCCGCAGAAGAATTAATTGTGCATATGTTTTAAATTGGGAAGAGTTATATTGTTTGATTAGAAATGGTAATGTATTCATTGAAAATGAATTATATAGAACTTTTAAATATATTTCTCTGACGATACACGCACCACCCACTGTAAGTTAAGTACTATGCCTGTAACCTGCGTGCAAATGCATGAAATAAGTTGATAAAGTTTTACCGCAATCTGATGAAGTTTATGGCAGCGCGCATTAAATACGAAAAAATAACATTAATTTTATATATATAATTATATGACCTTATCTAATATCTTATCCGGTCAAGAAATATCGCAAATTAAAGCTAGCAATCAGAATGTCGAATAAATTAACATCGTCATCTCCTATTTTTCTACCGCTGGATCTTTTTAATTTAAATAATCGTATATACATATCGGGTAATCTATTAAATGTTCTCAACAGATTCATGCCAGATGGAGCGTATTTGAATGCCTTAGAGTACGGACCAGAGAGACTGGCCAGAAGAATGTTCGAGGTCATGCAAAACCTATCGGTGTACCAAAGGTTTTTCAGATGGAAACAACACTATTCCTACCACGCGCATGACGAGGTTCCTGATACGGACAACTACTGTCGTTTATGCGCCTTGGTTAACGACAGGAAAGCATTTAACACATTTTCTTTAAAAAAGAACTTTACTGATTGGTGGATGCCGAAAGGGTGTTTGGAGAAATAGATTGTGTGTTTTGTTATTTTATATTTTCCTTTTTTTCCATCAGATCGTAAAGTAAAGTGAAAGTAATGTAAACATGAACCTCGAACTAGAACTAGATCACTTAACGGTCAGCCACTGCAGAGTACTTAAACTGAGGATGCCTCGTGTAGAGGCGAAACACGTGTCGTATTTCCTAGTGTGGTGGTGTTCGCAATGGTTTTAATCATTAATTCATTTTATTACGCGTAAATAAACGAATCAAGTTCTAACAACTTTAATATAATGGATTTCCGTAAAGTAACGCCTGATATTATTAATTATTTTAAAAACTTTAACGTTGGTTGAGTTAATATTAGGTGTGAGAGGGCACTATCCAGTTGTGTCTCGCTAGCAACGCAGTCAGGAATTTGCATTTAGAAAAAACCAAAATTAGGGGCTTTTTAGGTGTTAATTAGGTGTCAAGTTTAAAAATTGGGTGCTCTAAAATTTTCACCGCAACGAACTGTTGAAATTTGCGTTGCTAGCAAAACGTGTCGCTTGCAACGCAGTGACGATAATAGATATAAGTACGATAAATATTATTAGCAAGGAATTTAGTGATAGTTAAGTGCTGGGCGATTATCGAGACCAGATGCAGATTAAGATATTATTCTGGGAATTATAGGGTCCACGACCACCATTACCTTACCATAAGGTATAAACTACATTTTTTGTTCTTTATCAGTGCTTATAATTTGAAAATAAATTTATAGTAAGTGAACTGACAAATATACGAAAAAAATTAATAATAATAATGTCATAAAACAAACTTACCACGGATTCGAACTCTACACCCAGCGATTTGCAATAGCATTTCCGACTTAGAATCCAACGAGGTGGTAAGCCAGACACAAAAACTAGTTATCTAATTATTTTCTGTTTAAATCATTATTATGTTTTCGAAATTGATAATGAATGTATTTTCCATAATATACATATAAATTACTTTAAATAAAACTTACACAATTATTTCGTCCTTAAACTAAATATAGGTACTAAACAATAAACAGCAACTATTGAAAGATATACATAATAACAAAAAAATAGGTAGGTACGTAAACAGTTGTCTTTATATTTTTATAAGTTATATTTATTATTATAAGTTAATCATTAAAAACCAAACTTAATTTGTGCGAGATAGGTATGATTGATTGGTGTTTGGTGACATGAGTAAAGATTTATAACGCGTTCCCAACAACGGAGAGCACGAGTTCAAATCTCGAAGTGTAGTAAATCGTTTTTACTTTTGTTTATTTGTGCTCTAACCCACATAGCAATAATAAACGATTATCAGTTATCACGGAGAATTACGCTTTGGTCGAAAATATTTTGCAACCGTACTTTTTGCATACAATCATTATTTTATTAGTATACTTTCAGAAACTACCTATTTAAAACTATTATGAATCATAAAAATAAAAAAATGTATATTTACACGTTTAACCTACCTAACTGATCTCCAGGAAACCGGCCACACGTACGATTTGACTGAAATTTGATACTTTTTTTTAAATTTAAACAGTGTACCCAAATACTAAATAACCTATACTATTCCTCATAAATCTGGCAATAATATACAAAAAGAATTTTTCAAATCTGATTAGAAGTTCCAGAGATTAGCTTGTTTAAACAAACAAGAAAAACTTCCGCGTTATTATATTATAATAGATATAGATATAAATCGAAATCCTATGTCGATATTAAAATATCGAAAGGCACCAATTACTTATCAGTATAATTTGTACTTTATTGCACGAATAAAACTAGTTTTTATGAATTTTGTTATTTTTAGGAATGTTTGAGCGCCTGTTAAAATAATTTAGCTAAACTTAATTTTCGCATAACTGTGCTGTTAATATATTTCGCATTAATATAATATTTTAATTATTTTTATGCTATTTATTTGTATGCTTACTTTTTATGACTGTAGGTAAAGTAAAACATTATCTATATTAAAATAAATATAGATAATGTTTTACTTTACCTACAAATTTACGTTTAATGCACACCTATCCAAAAAATTATTTCTTTTCTCATCCTTATTTTTATTTTCATGTTGTGTGTAGAGGCCATCTAGCCTTTACTATACGTACCAACTTGAGAGTCCATCGATTTTATTTCGATAAAATGACTAGAACATTAGGAGGATGTAGATGGCGCTATTATATAAATGTTATATATATTACAAAGCAATTTTTTTATTTAGTACACAAATTTAGGCATTACATGTGTAAAAATAAGGATTGTAACATTTCTTTGCTATAAAATTAAATTTGTACCTTATTTTATGCAAGTGCGGCATAACATGTGATCATCGACCGACGAGCTGAGCAGTCATGTTGATTGTCATGATGATTGGTAACAATACCGAATCAGAAACCATTATCATCATGATCCTCACGTTCATTGCCTTTCCCTTTTTTTAAATAGCCCTGAGTCAGATAAAGCTGTAAGAGTCGCATAGACTAACAGCAAAAACATCTCTAAAATAGAACATAATATTATATGGTTGAAAATTATACCAAATAATATCGTAGATATATTAAATCTGATAACGAACAAAAATGCCGTTCGTACCTTATACTTAGGTAATGGTGGACCTGATAATTCCCAGAATATTACCGTCATCTAGGTACATCCGACCTCGATAAACTTTGAGCACTGAATTTTCAGGCACTGATAAAGAACAAAAAATGTTGTTTGGTATTACCATCCTTAAAGGAAATGGTGGTCGTGAACCCTATAACTACCAGAATAATGTCAATCTGCATCTAATCGCTTAGCACTTAATTCCTTGCTATTAATATTTATCGTACATTTATTATCGTCACTGCGTTGCTAACGATATGTTTTGCCAGCAACGCAAATTTTAATAGTTCGTTGTGTTGAACATTTTATAGCTCCTAGTATTTAAACTTTAGGTGCCAAGTTCAAAAATTAGGTGCTCTAAAAATTTTAAGCTTGGCAGATCATTAGCACCTAAAAAGCCCCTCATTTTGTTTATTTTAGTCTAAATGCTGTATCCGATTTGCCACCGGCCTGTAACCACATCAGTAGATAAACTACTCATGTGCTCGAACGGTGTTGTTACGCCACGGGGATTTACCTTAATCATCTTGGCATTTATTAGTATGAAATATAATCTTTATTTGTTTTGAATCCAAGTACATAAAGGTGATTAAGTTACAAATATGAAGGAGGGTTTGTTTTATAATCTGAAAATTATTGTATGCACAATAAGAACACAAATGTATCGTGTAGTGGATTGTAAGAATATCAAGGACCCCGTACGCCGCATGCCGCGGGTGTCGTAGCAGGCGACAGACAGGAACAAATCAAGAGATGTGTAGCAGTTTCTTCCTAATCTAAAATTAAAAACTGCTACGAAGCAATCTGTGTGGAGGCCTGTGTACAGCAGTGGACTTGTAACGGTAAAAAGAAACATGTAATATAATGTGCGTGTTTCAGATTCTCTGTGTCGCCTCTTACAATATGGGGTCATTCGATTTCCATGTGAGTACCTTCAATGCAAGGGTGGTAGCTCAGATGGTTAGCGCTCGCTGTAAATTTCACAGTACGCGAGCAAACCGGGTTCGATCCCCGCTGGCACCAGTGAAATTGTTAATTGCAATTTTAAGTGCTAATTTACCACGTGCTCGGCGGTGAAGGAAAACATCGTGAGGAAACCTGCATGTCTGAGAAATAAGAAAAAAAATTTCGAAGACTTGTGAAGTCCGCCAACACGCATTGGGGCAGCGCGGTGGACACTTCCTTGCCCTAATACCCTCTCAGAAATGAGAAGAGGCCTGTGCCCAGCAGTGAGACGTATATAGGCTGTAACTTTACTTTACTTTTACTTTTAAGGGTGAATACAGTAGCTACTGCGTAAATCGCAAAAATTCCCCTTTTAAGCAATTTATGGAGAAGGCTTATATTCATCAATGAATTTTTGATATGTTGTGTAGTATGGTAACGATTATTTTATAAACAAACAAAATGACAAAGCTTTCAAATTAATATATTTTATTTACACGCCATTTTATATTTGTACATCTGACAATTTAACATAATAAATTTAAAAAAAATCAATTTAATATTAGGTATATAAAATTGATTTAAGTAAAAATAGTTATGTTTTCTCTTTCCACTCAATTGCAAGACAGGTACCTATATAGACAATAATCAATTCTTAATATTAATTAAGAATTGATTATTGTCTATGTAATGTAAGTAAATCAGCGATTAAATAAGGCCGTATGAGTATATACAAATAATTAAATTAAATAAAAATGCAATAATAGTGGTTATGTACAGTGGAATCCTGATAACTCGAATTTCAAAGAGAAATGCTAAAAATTTCGAGTAAATCGAGTTTTTCTCGAACATAAACAAAAATAAGGTACACAGACGTGTTATTTAGAAAGTTTGAGTACATACATTCATTGCACGTATACAAAGTAGGTACACACAATAGAACAGAGGCAAAAAACATTCCTTTTGGATTTTATTGCTATGAGCTTGAGCTAAGTAAGACGTCATATTTTACTAAATTCGACCCGAAATTCGAGTTTTGTAGAGTATTATATCAATACCTCGCAGGTAAATAACATTTTGTTCGAGTTACAAAGCCTAAATAATTGGAGATAGGTACCGCGGCCTGTCTCACTCCGCGCTTTAGGCATGAAAATATACCTACGCTGCACGGCCTAATAAGGACAAGAGGCTAATTCAGTGAGATTGTAATTCGCGCGCTCGAGCTTACGCGCGCATTAGGTACGTTAGCAAAAGTTATTTTTTATAAGTATTTAGGCACTTTTGATATTTATTTTTGAGTTTTTATTCAAGTACGGCCACTCAAAAGTCAATTAATTATTATTTGATTAGCGACCCGAAAGGAGCTTCGCAATTTACGATTTTTTGTATTGTGTCAATTTCCTTAGGGATGGGAAAGTGAAAAAAATGTATCAATATATATCGCGTGATAAATATCGATATACTGTCATGTTTTGCATGATGTATTTTTTTATAGGAGAGGGGCAAACGAGCATACGGCTCACCTGATGTAAAGTGACTACCGCCGCCCATGATCAACTGGAACACCAGGGGCATTGAAGATGCGTTGCCTTTTAGGAAGGAGTAAGCTCTGTTCTTGAAGTATGTATGTAGTGGGACAGGGCCCAATATTGTATTACTGGACAGCTGGAGGACGAAAAAAACAACGACATATGACAACAGCATATGAATGTTTTTGTAGCTAGGTACTTTAGTTGCTTTATGTTTTGTCAATTAAAATGAGTGAAAAATTTCAAATACCTGGGACACTGGGTTACTGAAAATATGTCGGATGATATTGACATAGAGAGGGAACGCAGTGCTCTAGCTATGAGAGCGAATATGCTCGCCCGTAGATTTGCAGGGTGTAATATAGAAGTTAAAAAAAACTCTATTCAGACCCTATTGTCAGTCCTTTTACACCTGCAGTCTATGGGTTGAGTATACACGGAGGACGCTCACAACCTTGCACGTCCAATATAATAACTGCTTTAGGATGCTGATGGGGCTCCCTCGGTACTGTAGCGCGTCGGCAATGTTTGCTGAGGCTCGCATAGACAGTTTCCCAGCTACCATGCGCAAACGGGTTGCCTCCGCATGGCGCCGAATCCGAGATAGCTCCAACAGCCTCCTGGTGGCGATAGGGACTCGCTATTGCTGTCCTATCTTGAGGCACTGGAACAGCGTCCATATCGGCTCGAGACTTGCTCTGGTAAATATAAAGTACATAGTGTATAGTAATATAGTATGTAACCTTTTAAATTTTATTTATTTACTAACCCTAGCCTATAAGTTCTTTTTGTAATTACTAACCAACTCTATGGAAAGAAATTTCTGAAATAAAGAATAATAATAATATAATATATCGAAATTGCTACGAGTTCGATATTCCAAAATAAATATCGAAAATCGAGATCGATGATCGTTCAGTCGATGAAATAAAGAAATTGAAAATAGTAGCACTTCTTATTGCTAGTAGGTACTTACTCTTTCATTAATAATGCTGTCGCGTATCGCATGGCATGTTTCACAATGTTTTTAAATAGCAAAAACAATGTGAAACAGAAAAAAGTAAATTAGTTAATTATCTATCTATTATCTATATAATTTCAAAAACGTTCACGTTGTTATAATCTTAATTTTTCTAAATGTTGCATATTAATATTCCTCACATTAAACACTAATGTTCTTATTATCAGCAAATTCCTAGTACATTGCATAATACCTCGATGTGTTCTACTACCAACTAATATCAAAGGATTCAATTTGTTTTCTCACAACACCTAACCCATATATTATAGTAGGAGCGGACTAAACAAATGGGCGTAACGAGCTATGTGATACAGACACTCGCACGCGGATTAAGTTTATTTTGATTTAATACGCACAACGCATTAATTTTTTTTCGACGATTTAATTGGTAGGCTAATTTCATGAAGGTCACTTAAGAGACGTGCAAAGTATTATGAACATTAGCGACGTTGTGTAACCTGGTTTAAACTTGCAAGTTTGATATCAGAGAGTGATTCTTCTGTTCTTGTACTATTATTTTGTTCTGTGGTTTAGTAGAAGATAGGCCTCTGTCACTCTTGCTACCTGCGTGAAATAATTACCTACGATCGTCAGAAGCCCAGGGTTACATACGCAGTCGAAGCTAGCGCGTTCTAGGCGATTTAATCTCAAAGGTTTTTAATGCTGTTTACGTAAATAGTTTTTTATTAAATACTTGTTGAAATAGTTTTTAGTGTTTAGTATATTTAATTGTAGGTAATTTAAAATAGTATATAATTGTATACCTAGTACCTATCTATGTTATAAATTATGATGGCAAAACGTCATGGATGCTTAATGAGCAAACAAACGGATACAGATATATGTATAATTTTTAAGTTACCGAAGGCTAATGAAAGGTGAATTTATTTCATATTTATTTTTTTGTGTTAGATAGTTACTTATACAGAAAAAAGAAATAAGTAATTATTTGACCACAGAAGTAACTCGAGGCTTAACGAGGTTCGAGTTACCGAGGTTCCACTGTATATCTCTGTTAGAGATATTTTTCCACACAATTTTGCTGTAACATGTTGGTAAGCTAGTTTAACTCTCTACAACGTGCCAACGTGGCCAGTAAAGCCAAAGTATATAATCTTAGAAGAAAGTTAGACTGCGGCCAGGGTCTACAGTTCGTCGATGAACTTCGTCGTGCGTATGTTGTGCCATAATGGCAGCGAGCCCCAGAAACGTGAACGCGAAGCCAGGTCGTTCCTCATCTGTTGCTCAACGCCTATCTCCAGGTACTCCATCTGCTGTCCGCTGGTAGCCGGTTCCCATTTGAATGGCAGCTTTATCGGTTTGTTGGGGTCACTGAAGTCAAATAATTGAAATTTTATGTATTGGAAACATCTTAATTTGAAAACAAATCTACCAGTCTACACCAGATGAATTGAAAAAAAAAATACAGCTGGAGTCAACAAATACTAAGGCATAGTTAATCTATAACAAAAAAAATACAAAGAATAGATACTGTGCATTATAAATAAATTAAATATTATGCGTGCATTCATAAAACATATATTTCATGAATAAAATTACACAGTTATATTATCATATATAAAAAGTAAATCGCTATTTTTGTTCGAATAAATATATAAAGGTAATATAAGATAACAATGTGGTCATATTTCATTAATTATCAACAAATTAATGCTAAGCAACACAAATAAAATAATAATAATTAAATTAAATGTGATAAATCCGTTAAAACTACTTTTATTAATATAATTTTAATAATTATTTATTATTTAATAATTTATTTAGAACCTCGAAAAGATACAAAGATAAAAATATTATCTTAATCCACCATGTAATGGCAGCGTAAAAGAATTCACTCCCCCATATGCTCCCGGTCCCGTGGTGGTTGTAAGAGGCGATAGAGGGAACTGAAACAGGATACGGATGATGGATGGACTCAAAATCATGAAGAACTGCGGTTGGCAACCCGCCAACTGCAGTTCTTCATGATTTTGGGAAGCTATTGTTTAGCAGTTGACTATGATAGGCTGTAATGACGATAATTGTGCTGATTATGATATAACATCATTATCATTATGAATATCTTTTTATATTAATAAATATCGTACAAGGAATGTATTTCCACCAGCGCAGGTAGCGTTGCCAGGGGTCCGGATAAAGTCGGACACAGTCGGGCTTTTTGGCTACGTATCCGACCAAATTAAACGATATCCGCTCTGTCCGGCGTTTATTAGGCTTTTTAAATTTGACCATTTTTTTACATTTGTCATGTACTTACATACATACATACTACAACAGTTATTGAAATTAATATTGTAATTAATGTGGAATGATTAATAATAAAGAAGACTGATTATTTCAATTTTATTGTTATTTAATTAGACTTTACTTTAAAAAAAAACTTGTCGTGTTTTTTTACTAAGAATAAAAAATTAAAGGTGTCCAGCCTTTTACCAAAATGTCCGGCTAAGCTGACTGGTCTGTCCGGGTTTTCCGTTTAAAGACCTGGCAGCCCTATGTGCAGGACAAGATTATAATGTACAAGTGTAGTGTAAGTTCTTGAATGAACATTTTCACTATTCCATCACACTTATAGCCCGATTGGCCGGGAATCCGACACGACCGAAGATATATAAGGCGCAGAAGCACCGCCAACTTCCTACTACTAAAACTTTCTCGACAAAAAATCTCAATACATAACCGATTTTGTCCCGACCCAGTGTTTAAACCCGCGACCTCATTTTCTGGTCACTAAATCAACGAGGTAGTTAAAGTCAAAAGATTATAAATGCATAGGAACTATCTTCTTACCCAGTGGTGGCAAAGTTCGTCCAAAGAGTGATGATCAGCTCGCTAATCTCCCTGTCCTTCTGTGAGAACGGCTTTGACAGGAAGTGTATCGGGAAGAGATGCATCAGTTCATCTGCGTGGCAGACGCCTGAAAAGAAAGTTTTAGTGTAATTAAACATTTTGCAATCTTATACAGATAACTAGTTAAAATTCACGGGAGAAAGAAAAAATATGAAAAAATTGACGGGTCTATAACTGCATTTTATTGAGCTGAGTGGGTTATTTAAATTCCATTAGGACAAATGTAAACCTTTTTAAAATTTTTGTTTATCTGTCTGTCCTAGTTCATATCTTCGAAATGGCAAAACCGACTGTAACGGAACTCCAAGAACAGATAGATAGCAATACCAGGAGGGATCTAGACAATATGTCACCGGGAAACTTGGATGATGTTTTTATTAAATCGAATATTTGATAAGATAAATGGCATTTAATGATTTCAAATCTTACTAACGCTATATATTAAATAACAATCTATATATTTAATATAGATTACAAATAATTCCTGTTGATATTTATTTTTATATTTAGCAAATAAAACTTTAAATATATTAATAACTTGAAAACAGCGTCACCTATCGTCGCACGAGCGCGATCACTAACAGACAGACCAACGATTATATTATATACAAATTTGTATAACAGACTGATTTAGTGAGTCTTTTTTGGCAACAAACAACATACATTTTTAATATAAGTTAGTTTTGTCTATAAATAAAGAATATGTTAATGATTTGTCTACAGCGCCATCTTTCGGATCCTAGTATAACTATGAACCATCCTCTCGACAAGAGTCGTTTAGAAGGTACACAATCGATAACAGACGCACTCACGATTATACTATATCTAAATATGTGTGTAAAAGGGATAGCTATAGCATGGTCGAATACAATCAAGAAGACTAGGGAAATACTAGTTGATAGGACTTCTTTTGTACCTAGGAGTCAATCTGGATAGGTACCAGGTATCAGGTACTCTTCTACGTCCCGGTCTGAGGACACAGAGAGTTAGGGAAGAGCCAGAGTCTATCTAAGTCCTCATAGGTGATAATGCATATGTAGCCTTAATTGTGTCATTTATTTGCCATTTACCATCTGGTGAACTGTTGGTTCGCGTGTCACTTTAATTTTATAAAAATGAGAATATAGTCTCCATAGTCATCATCATAATCATCACCATTTCAACCCTCCACAGCTATCCTTGTAAACATAGGCCTCGATCAAGGAATGCCACAAAGCAAGGTTCTTATGTTTGCAACTTCAACCAGGCTGTTGCCCTATGTAGATTACTCTGGTTCTACTGTAGGAATTCTCATGTCTAAGTTTGTCACGTAGAGAAACGCCGAATACAGCCCTCTCACACGCCTCAGATCCATAAGACGGCACTGGCAACACGCACTGGTTGTACAATGTTGTTTTCAAGCTTTGAGGTGCACCTGACGAGAAGATATGTCGTATTCTTCCGAATGCTGCCGAATCAAGTACATCCATTGACGTCGATTGTCGGAGTTGTAATTACCTAGTCGGACAATTTGTACCAACACACAACCATTACCAGCATAGATTGGCATGGACAAAGCAAAGATCATGTGTTACATGGACGTAACACATGATCTTTCCGTTGGGAGGCACTATTGAGGTCATTAAGGATAGTGTTTAGTTTAGGTCCTTAAGTGATTCTGCCATAAGGATTATATTGTCGGCAAATCGAAGGTGAGTGATGTACTCAACATTGATTTTGTTTTCCGTCGCGTAGCTTAAAACATTTTCCAATGGAATGGTGAACACTTTCGGGAATATAACTCCACGCTATTTTACACCACTCTGCGGTTGGATTGATTTCGTTCGATTATGGTTGTGGCATGTAATGGTTCGGCTCGAAAGGGGAAGGAGCGTTCCTCACAAACTACCAGCGAAATAATAGCTTAACGCTGCTGTATTTCATATGGTGAGTGTAGAGAATCGGAACTCCTTCTTATTGGAGACGAGGCATTTTATTTTAGTCTTCAGGGGTGACAACGCATTTGGATTTTGATTAATAATCGAAGATAGATGTAGACCACACAATAAACACACACACCATCGGGTATACAGTGTGCTCATTTGTCACAATTATTTTATAAAAAAAAATGCTAGTGTAGCCCTACTGTACAAGCACTTCAGCACTTCGATATACCGACAGTCCACTTGGCACCGCTGAAGGGGCTACAGTCCACGCCCTCCCAAATTTCGACGGAATCAAAGGCTTCCTCATAGTCCATATACGCAACACAAAGTAGTATATTGTTAAGGATGTGTTTGTTTAATACTGTTTACTGAAGAATTGCGTTCTCGTGACAATTAGTAATGTAAAACAAACCTTTATAAGCGGTGCTAGGGTCAGCATCCAAGTCTATCATTAAATTAGCTTCATGGTATTATTGCATTTTAGCGAGATAAATAGTCTATACAAATAATTCCACAACACTGACAGTTAAAATGTTTACTTTAATACACACATAGCAGGAGATACACAATTTAGCACAAACAAGCAGAAGATACACAAGCCAAGATAAAAGAGTTTATAATAAAAATACAGTCAAAAGCACAATCAATATTAACCGTGATTAACCGTAATACTTGAAGTCTATGGCGAGAAAAAGGGATTAGCGTTAGCGAGCAACATGCGTTCCGCGTCGTATCGGTAGAACCATAGATAAATAAATATGTAGCAAGCTAGGTAGAACGACTGGTGAACGCCGAACGCGGTGCGCGGACGCAGGCGATCCTTTTGCCAGCTGTGTTAACGGAATTCCGGGCGGCGCGTACAACGCCCGGCTGTTGCTACGTGCATTGTGTTGAGAGTATATAGTATTAAATACGTATTCAGCTCGGGGTCACCAGTTTAGCGAGATAAATAGTCTATACAAATAATTCCACAACACTGACAGTTAAAATGTTTACTTTAATACACACAAGCAGGAGATACACAATTTAGCACAAACAAGCAGAAGATACACAAGCCAAGATAAAAGATTTTATAATAAAAATACAGTCTATCAAAAGCACAATCAATATTAACCGTAATACTTAAAGTCTATGGCGAGAACAAGGGATTAGCGTTAGCGAGCAACATGCGTTCCGCGTCGTATCGGTAGAACGACTGGTTAATGGTAGAGATGAAGCGTATATACTAGAACAGATCCAGGGACTAAGTATTTAACGAGACTAGGTTGCACCTATTCCAACTTTTAAAATACTTGATCCATCTAGTCTCACTGTGCCTACGCGTCGTACTCGTATTTTGTTGCCGTAGACTGTAGGTAGTTACTAGGCGCTCAACTCGGGTCGTCTTCGCCTAAATCATTAGTTTGTCAGTCATTTGAATTTGAACCAAATTTTAATGAACATAAAGGTAACGTGACGCGCACTCGTGTTTGTTGTGTAATAATATATTCTGTCCTTTTTTAACTAGACTATTCCGTAGTCTTTCTATCTTTGTCTGTCAATACTCGAGACTCGAGACTAGTCGGGACTCGGACTAGTTCAACCAAATACTAGTACGAGACTAGTCGGGACTCGGACTAGATCAACCAAATACTTATACAAGAGTACAAGGCAGGCGAGTGTCTATTGTCAAATACGGTACGGACTAGTGCGAATGTGATCTCGGTGGACGGTGTTTTCATGTTTCCATGACTACATAATATAGTATTGGAAGCGTAAACAATTTACGTTTCTTTTCTTAATTCTTTTTTTTAATGTTATTTATAAGAATTATGCAAACAATATTCTAAAAAAATATTATAATTAGGCTCGTTACTATAAAGATTATATGAGAGATAAATGAAAATAATCCACTTTAAATTCTCGTTTCCGTCATTAGTATGAGCTGAATCAACCAACTATAGAATTATAGCAATAGTAAAAAAAAACATAGCCGCTTAAAATCAATCAATATCAATAGGTGAGTACTCCCATTCTAGAGTTTTTCAAATAAATCAAAGATAAACATCTTTTAAAACAAATTTTACAAAATATGAAGTACTACTAAGTAGCATTTGAAGTAAATTATCTTAATTTATTTCTCATATAACCTTAATTCTCGTAATTTAGTTACGAGAATAATTATAATCATTTTGTAAAGTATGAAGGGAAGATGTATGAATTCATTATTGCACACGTTTCAACAGTACACACGTAAAATATGGTACTTGAAACTATAGCGTATCCTATTCCAACAATACTAAACTATGCGTACTTGATACTTTTTGGACTAGGTGGAACAGGTATTTGGATCGAGTATTTATACGGAATTGGACTAGGTGCACCTAGTACGAAATTTACCTAGTACGACTCATCTCTAGTTAATGGTTATACAAAGGTACTCTGTGAACGACTGGTGAACGCGGTGCGCGGACGCAGGCGATCCTTTTTTTGCCAGCTGTGTTAAGAATTGCGGGCGGCGCGTTCAACGCCCGGCTGTTGCTACGAGCGAGCATTGTGTTGAGAGTATATAGTGGTGTAATATTGGATTGTTGAGTGTGAGAGAGTATGTATGTGTGTATCTGTGTGGCATATGTGTGTGTGTGTATAATGTAGGAAAGTAGCCTACAGGTAGTTATACCTTTCTGCTCAATTGTATGACCGTAAGTGCTTCAAAAATTGATTACTTGACAATTTTAAACCAAGAACAAAGAAAGCAAGTTAATAAACAGCTTGTAAGCAAAATAACAATCAAGTCGTAACGCTAAAGTTGACGCAAAAAGTACTAACCATAATCACCGACCTCATCACCGAAGATTTGTGAAAAGCTGTTGGTGGCCCTGTACGTCAGTTCGTACAGGTACACGGGATTCTTCGTGTAGTTGAAAGTCAATTCGATCGCTTCCAATGCCGGGTACGCGAAGTACGAGTCTGAATATATCTGTAAGAAGTGTCGTAAATAAAAATGGAACCTGTTACGACAAATCGCTCAATAGGTTTTTTCAGTAACGTCCAAGAACTAAACGTTATTACACAATAAGATTAGGTTTTAGGTTGCGCCAATTACTGCTATCAATACGTTGTTAATTTGCAACTTTTTAGTTATCTTTTAGACGACGACAAAAGGACCCAATTTTCAAGGGAAATGAAACACCAATTGATACTTTCAAATGTGAATAAAAATAAAAATATTGGTACATCGTAATTTAAACAATTGTTTATTTCCATAACTTTTATTGCCCACCAAGAAATTATCATTATTTGTTGCTTTAGTTTCATAGTGAAATTGTTTGCTACTTAGAAACGACTATACAAAAGAATTAAGATTACGTGTTTATAAGAAATCAATGATTAGGTGCGTGGCTATAAGAAAAGATATTTGATACGTGGTAGAGCCACACTGCAGTTATATTATGGTTGTAGCACGAATGGGTTGGCTCGACCGGGGAAGAACCACGCTTTCACAGAATACCAGCGTGAAATAGCAGCTTAATGCTACTGTGTTTCGTATAGTGAGTGTAGAGAACCGGAAACCCGTTTGACGGGAATCTAGGCATTCCATATTAGTCCTCAGGGGTGACAACGCATCTGCATTTTGACCCTTAATCGAGGTTAAATGTAGATGTCTATGGGCCACAGAATCCACTGACAATCAGGTGGACTGTGTGCTCGTTTGTCACCCTTATTATATAAAAAAAAACAGTTGCAGAAGAAACCTATGGTCGCAACAAGTTTCTTAAAAGAAATGTAACTAGTTGCATCATTGCGTGAAAGTAACGCCCATCTCTACTATATACTACACGTGGTAGCCATCAGCACAAGCCATGCTGCAGTCTCAAGTAGAGCTTCGTCCTCAGAGGTGACAACGCATCTGTATTTTGATTCTTAACTGCAATTAGCCACAGCATGCACATATCGTCAGGTGGATTGTGTGCTCGTTTGCCACCCTTATTCTTAAAAATAAAGTTTCTATCGCTTCTATTACATTCATGTATTGTACACACGCTCCTTAGGCAAAGTTATTCGTAAATAGAGGCACAGTATTAATATGACTTCCTCCTAAGGCCTCCCTTGCCGACACTGTCATTCACTTCTATAGTTCAAACTTGCTTTAGGTTTAGGTTTAAAGAGTTTATTATCTCAAAAAAGAACAAATATTCACTTATATGAGACTTAAAAATAACATAGTTGGTAAATGTAACACATTTAAATATTATATGAATAAAGTTATATATATATCAAAATTAGGATTAAAAAAGCACCGTCTTTAAATATTAGTTTGACAGTGCTTTTTTAATTTATGTTTAAATTGTGAAAATTATTTTTCATGAAATACCTCATTCGGTAGGCTATTGTACAATAGCGCTCCCTCGAACTGAATAGTTTTCGAACCATAAGTTGTAGTCCTAGCTTTTGGTAATTGCAGTTTATGTTTGTTTCGTGTACAGTGTTTATGTGGTTTCGTTTTAAAACTAATTTGGGTGTGTATGGAATCTAAGACAATTTTTCTGACTAGTATGCACGTTTTGTATTTGTATAATTGATTTATAATGTATCAGTTTTTTTATAGAGCTCTTTAGTAGAAAATCGGTAGTCAAGTTGGAATAAGACTTTTAATAATTTGTTCTGGGATATTTGAAGATCCTTTACATTAGTTTTAGATGCACTTCCCCATATCTCTATTAAATATTCTAGTAATGACTTTCCTAGTGAGTTATAAATAATATATCGAACTTAAGGTATACAACGTGTAGATCTGCGCAAAGCTCCTGTCAATGATGTTATTTTTGACTGCAGGTAATCTAAATGAGCTCGCCATGTTAATTTAGAATCTAAAACGAGACCAACCAACCAACATTTAAACATATATCCAACATATTCTTTCTAAGTGTCCAAATCATTTTGGAGCATATTTGTATTAGAGTTATTGAAAGCTTCTGTTGTTCTGTTTAGTGATGGCAGTTATAGTGAACGTCGCTGTAGAAGAGAAGAAGGTGCTTTTCAAATTACGTCAGACACACCGTTTTATTTTTCGTGCGCATCTTAGATAATTCATTTTGACAACTTTATTGTAATGGATATTGCCAAAGTAACGCCTGATTCTATTTCATTTTCAATATTTAATGATCATAACAATATTTATAAATTATACATTCATACAACAACTCGTACACCTTTTTCGCAGAGACGTAGGCATTGACTACAGACATTTATCTGATACGATACTGACACTGGTAGAGTTAAGCTGCAGCCTGCAGCTATATTATGGTTGTAGTACGGGTCCGCTCGACCGGGAAAGGACAACGCTCTTACAGAATACCAGCGTAAAATAGCAGCTTCGTACTTCTGTGTTTGGAATGGCAAGTGTAGAGATCCGGAGACCCCTTTTTACAGGAAAGGAGGCATTCAATCTCAGTCCTCAGGGATGACAGCGCATCTGCGGTTTGATTCTTAATCGAATATAAATGTAGATGCCTATGGGCCACAGCATCTACTTACCATCAGGTGAACTGTATGCTCGTTTGTCACCCTTATTCTATAAAAAAAACACCTCTTTCGCTTTGTATTGCTGATAGACCAAATTAAATTTCTAATTTAGGTGACGTCCCTTACCGACTCTGCCGTTCTCATCTTCGCAGCTTTTCACCCTTTCCCAAATCATTCTTTCTACGTGTTCATACCAGTGAAGCATTATAAATTATACCTAGCAGTTATGGTTGAATTAGAACAAGACAAGATCCTCCTATAACTTCAAAGTAAAAACTTAAACTGTATTCTTACATCAAGAATCGCGGTCTTGATTTCTTCGGTGTCGCCGCCGTTGAAGTAGACGTCCTTGATGCGCCTGGTGATGAGGTCGATGTACGGCGAGTTCTCGTAATAAAACGTGACTGGGGCTATCGATTCAAATCCCGACATGAACTCCTGGTACCTGCTCGAGTTGGCTGTGATCCCTGAATAAAATTTGTTAAGTCTATTGTTTTATCTTCGCAGAGTAATTTTATAAAACACTACTAGAAATATATATATATTTGTTAAGTCTATTGTTTTATCTTCGCAGAGTAATTTTATAAAACACTAGTCGCTTAGTGTTCGAAATTCGACCGTAATTAATTAAGCTATCTGGTATTTCCCCAGGCAAATTATTTTTTTTTTGAGAAACACATTGCCGTAAACTGTATATCTCTGTCAAACATTTGCACAGACTTCTATGTGTTTGACATTGGCAATATAAACATTAACAATGATATAAATAATATTTTAAAATACCACTCCATACTTAATGTATTTGTATAACATATTATATAATGAAACATGCCCATTCTGATTGCGGAACCTTAATGCTCAATCGTAAAACTCATCTGGGAAACTATGTACTTCGCCCAGAAGGAGTGAAATTGCTCACAGCCAAGCAACTCCCTCTATTCATTGAAGGCATAGGGCTTAGCAGTGAACTATAGCCATAGCAGCAATTACAATGTATTTTAAAGGTCTCAATGATACTGGTCTTTTTAGACCTGCATAGCTGCTAACATGAAAAAAACCCACATATTATTATGTATTATTAATGTTAGCTTAGCTTTCTGCATATAAACTTTAACTATAACAAATCTCACACTCTTCCGTGTGCGCAATGTGCTTAGGAAGAGGGTTCAAAGTTTTCGCTGTACTTAATAATATAACGAAATAACTTGCATTCAAGGACATTTTTGCATAAGATATATAATAAAACCACTGATTCTCATAATATGTCATATTTAGTATTTACGAGTACGTAGCAGTGACATGTTGCACCTGTATTTTCATGCAGCATTAATGATTTGGCTTAACTTGAGGCAGGAGAACGCTCTCTCAGAATAAAGCTGTGTACGATCAGAACCGAGGTAAAAGAGTCATGTTTATATATACTACCAATTTAAAATAAGCTTTCGCTCCTAAAAAAAAATAAAAATTTTGAACTAAATAAGTAATTAGAAACTATCAAAATCAATATAATACGCACGCAATTAGTAGTATTTATTGAGACATCAATTTCACTATATGTTAATGATGAACCTATTCTGGTCAACGGCGGCTCTCAAGTCTTCCAGGAAGATTAAGACCTTGGTGTCAGGTGGCAACCGACCGTAAAATCTAATAGCCAATTTTTATATTAATCATGAGGCACATCAAGAAAGGAAAGAGTTCTAAGGCTAGGGCGTCACCCTCAAGCGACGGCGATGCGAATGCGACGAATACTAGGGCGTCCCCCGGAAGCGACGGAAGATCAAAACAACAAAACGCTGTACCAATGTCTCAAATACGCATAGGAACGTGGAACATTGGCACAATGACTGGAAGAAGTGCTGAACTTAGCGATATTCTATTTAGACGACGCATAAACATTTGCTGTGTGCAAGAAACAAAATGGAAAGGCGCCAAATCACGTCAGATCGGGAACGGGTTTAAACTCATATACAATGGCACAGACAAGTCTAAAAATGGTATTGGAGTTATCCTGGATCAACATCTAAGCGAAAAACTTATCGAAATAAACAGAATCAACGACCGCATCATGTCTGTGAAGCTGGCCCTCGAAAAGCAACCATGCCTAAATGTCTTCTCAGTCTACGCACCACAAGTAAATTGCTCTGATTCAGAAAAACAAGAATTCTGGGAAGACCTGCAGAATCATCTAACAACAGTACCCCGAAGTGAACAAAGAATCGTATGTGGAGACCTGAACGGTCATGTGGGGATAGACAGGGACGGTTTTGAGGGTTATCATGGTGGTTTCGGATATGGAAAGCAAAAAAGTGAAGGTGAAACAATTTTGGAATTCGCAGCTTCGAAAAATCTTGCAGTAGTAAATACGTTCTTACAAAAGAAGGACGAACATCTAATAACCTATACGAGTGGAAAATCGAAGACGCAGATAGACTATATCCTAATAGATAAACAATACTTGAAACAAATTAAGGACTGCAAGGTTATTCCTGGAAATTCCTCACCTCCCAACATAGGCTTCTACTAACAGCCCTGAAACTTAAAACAGCCATTAAGATAAAAAGAGTTAAAGTGGAGAGTATTAAATGGCATGAACTAAAAACAGATAAAGGGAGTAACCTAGGAAAGCATGTTTTGGATTATATGAGCAAAAACCCCCTTCGAGATCAGACTCCTACGGAAACATGGTACAAACTTTGAGAAATTATGTATCACTGCATCAAAACGTGAGCTAGGGATAAGCAAAGGACCACTGCACAATGCAAAAGATACAAAATGGTGGAACGACTACACCGAACACAGTGTTGCTGAAAAGAAACGTTTGTTTAAAATTTGGCAAGAAACTTGCTCCGATGAAGATAAAGAAATATACAAAGAGGCAAAGAAGACTGCTAGAAGAACAGTAGCTATTGAAAAGGAAAAAGCTGATCTAAATCTTTACCATCGCTTAGAACTAGCCACCGATAATGACATATATAAAATAGCTAAATATAGATATAATGATTGTAAAGACTTTAAAAGTACAAAATATATTAAAAATAAGGAAGGCACACTACTTACAAACGATAAAGATATATGTAAAAGATGGTTTGAGTATTACCAGGAGCTGCTCAATGAAGAATTCCCTAGACAATCAGAAACAGAATTACCTCCGACGCAAGAACCTGTATATAGAATAACTGTTGCAGAAGTTGGTAGCGCCATATCTAAAATGAAGAACCATAAAAGTGTAGGCCCAGATAACATTCCTGTTGAGCTCTGGAAATTTCTAAAAGGGGTAGGAGAGGCATGGCTCTGTGAGCTGTTTAATAACATCATGAAAAGTGAAAAAATGCCAGATGCCTGGAGAAAGAGTGTACTGGTCCCATTTTACAAGAACAAAGGAGATGTACGGGAATGCGCAAATTATCGAGGTATAAAACTCACGTCACACACACTCAAAATCTGGGAACGAGTTCTAAGTGAACGCCTTCAAAACCTCATTAATTTAACAGAAAATCAGTTCAGTTTTACTTCTGAGAGGGGAACAACAGACGCAATCCACGCAATCAGACTGGTCATGGAAAAATCTCGCGAAAACAAACAAATTGGATGGTATTCATAGATCTCGAGAAGGCTTTCGATCGTGTGCCGAGAAACATAATATGGCAGGCTCTGAGAGCTCAAAATGTCCCTGAGCACTATATAAAACTGATTATGGACATGTATCATAATGTACAAACCTGTGTCAGAAGTCCAGCCCGCCGCCTGTCAGAGAGCTTCGATATCAAAGTAGGAGTTCATCAAGGAAGCGCACTAAGTCCCTTGCTATTCAATATCACCATGAACTACCTAACCCAGAAAATCCAGAAACCCACACCATGGAACCTTTTATATGCGGATGATGTTGCGCTCATCTCAGGCAGTGTAATCGAGATACAAGAAAACTTGGAGCAATATAGGAAATCTCTAGAGTTAAACGGATTACGCATAAGCAGAATCAAGACAGAGTAAATGAAATTGTATACTTGGGGAGTGCTTTCAGCCGGGATGGAAGATGTGATTTAGATGTGGACAGGCGTGTCGCTGCCGGAAACAAAGTCAATGGTGCCCTGAATGCATTAGTAAAAAAGGCAAGGCGTGGTGAAGAGTGCACGCCTTGCAATACATAATGCAGTGTTGGTACCGACTTTGTTATATGGCAGCGAAACCTAGGTATGCCAGAAGAAGCATAAAAGCAAGTTGAATGCAGTGGAGATGCGATCTCTTCGTAAAATGTGTGGCGTTACCTTAGCCGACCGAAAGCGAAACGAAGAGATTCGCAATATGGCAGGATTGAAAGATGACCTTATCACAAAAATTGATAGGGGCGTACTCCAATGGTTTGGGCACGTTGAACGAATGAGTGAAGACCGAATGGTGAAGAAAATATATAGAGCGAAAGTAAATATTAAAAGGTGTCGAGGTAGACCGAGACTAACTTTCGAAGACCATGTGAGCAAATTGCTCGAAGAGTGGAGGGTCAAGAGTACTCGGATACCTAGACGTGCATGTATGAAGAAGTTAATGAACCTGAAAGAAGCGAAAGAGGTATGTAAGGATCGTGACACTTGGCGATCTGTTCTCTCTGGCTACCCCGTTAGGGATTGTGCGTGAAGATAAGTAAGTAAGTAAGTAAGTAAGACAGAGTACATGGTATGCAACTTCAACCCCGACGAAATTATACCATCAAGTGCGGAAGTCAAATTGGATGGCGTAGCCTTACCTAGAGTAAATAAATTTAAATACCTCGGATCAATAATCGCGGAAGATGGATCGATAACAGCAGACATAACGCACAGAACGATGTCTGGGTGGAATAAGTGGCGTACATTAACGGGAGTCCTCTGCGATCCAAAAATGCCGATAAGAACCAAAGGCAAGGTCTATAAAACAGCTGTGAGGCCTGTTTTACTCTATGGTAGCGAAACGTGGGCTTCAATAAAAATCCATGAGCAAAAACTTCATGCCACTGAAATGCGCATGTTACGTTGGGCGGGTGGAGTCACTCTCAAAGACAAAGTGCGTAACGAACACGTAAGGGGGAGTTTCAAAGTAACGCCTATCACTGATAAGATTACAGAGTCCAGGCTAAGGTGGTACGGACATGTTATGCGTAGACCCGATGACCACGACGTGAAAAAGTGCCTTTCCATGGCTACAAAAAGGAGAGGGAGAGGTAGACCGCAAACTACCTGGTTGACAAATGTCCGGAAGGACATGCTAAAGCTCGGCCTTACAGAAGATGATGCTTACCAGCGAATTGAATGGTGCCGAAGGATTAAGAAAGCCGACCCCGCGTAACGGGAAGAGGCGAGGGCAAAGAAGAAGAAGAAGAAGAATTTCACTGTATGTTAATGTAAAAGAAAAAAAATGTATAATATCAGTGCCACAGGCTTCTATTCCGTTCACCTGTTACATCCTATTTTTCCAGACTGGAAACTGGAGACTATATATACATATACATATATATATATATATATATATATATATATATGGGTGTGTGTATATAAGTATATTAGTAGTATAATAGTTATTTTCAAGAGGATACGGCTAGTAGGCATATCTAGATCTTGCAAAAGTAACTAATTGTATCTGAATTATTGTAGTCTGGGAAACGGGCTGGCCGTATGGCTCGAAGAACCGGCAACCGATGAGGAAGAAAGGTTCTCGAGTAGCAACCTCGTACCTGTAAGTAAATTATAAGTGCGGCCCCCCACTAGATGGAGTCACACCGTGATTGAAGTCGCCCTGTAGTTGTGGTGTAAGAGAATTCACTATCCCATAACATCCTGTGGGTGTCGTAAGCGGTGACAGAGGAAAACTGGAACAGGATATGAACGGCAGCATATTCCCGATAGCAACTCAAAACGGTTTCCAGCCCAAGCGTGGCAACTATTGCAAATGTCCCAAAGATATGTTCAATTTTATATTATAAACCCTTATATAACTATTATTGTTTTTAGGAACATTTTATATCAATATATTTTGTAAAGAGTACATACAGACAGATTTCAAGCAGCCTTCGTTCTGGTTGAGGCCGGTCATCCAGGGTACAGCGGCGGAGGTAGGCATCTTTCGCGGACTGGACGTTAGGAAAGCCCCAGGCAAATCGGGTTCCACTACCGCTTTGAACGGCGTCATCGGCTCGTAGTCCCACGCCTGGAAAAGAGTTTAATGAGTTTAGAGTACAAAATCAACCAAATGTAAGTTTTGGTAAATGGATACTACAGTCTGTGACAGCTAGTTCATTATCCGGAGCTACAAACCGAATAATACCATAAGCTAGTAAAACTATGTATAGTGTATGTGGTTGACCGTTTAAGTGATGCCCTTGTATCGAGTATTTTATATAAATATTGTGAGCGTTTCACAAGTGAGCAGAGATTAATTAATAAGAAATTTATTGATGTTAAATCTGATACAAGTGGCATAGGGACGAAACCTTCTTAACCTTTCTCGAGCCCAGTCTTCGTGAACGGGGTTTACTAACCTTAATATAATATAAGGCATTACCAACGGTTTTCGATTGCTCTAGTGAGTATTTAATCTTCCAAAATACATCTAAAAGAACTAAGTTATTAAACAAACACAACGTAAATAAGGCTCCTAACTAAGACGATCACACCATAAAAAATACTATAAATGGCGCATAACTAAACGTTTAGAAACATTAAAACACATTTTTGTTTATTCTAGTCATTTTTGTATATAGAAAAGGCGAAATAATATAATATATAAGAGGGGGAGGGGGGAGTACGTTACACAATTAGTAAAACAGTGTAGTGGCGGGTTAAGAGTATCGATTACCCCATGATATCTTAATAATTGCGCTAGACATACCACCTGCCGAGCGTGGCAACGATGGCAAAATCCCAATAAGGCAATCTATGGGGAAACCTGTGTTCAGCAGTGGACTTTTAAAGGTTGTAATGGTAGGATGGATATATGTACTTTTCTATTAAATTAAATGTGTAGTAGACCGACTTTCATTTTTAGCATCTAACCCACAAGTGTATGAACACCAACATCAAACAAAAAGGGACCACAGATACATTGTTACCTTTAACGATTAAAACAGAATGCCTTTAAGTAATTAACCGGCTCTCCGTTTCCTTTATAGCAGATCAAACTACAGAAATATAAAAACGGTAAAGAACAAAAATATGTAAAATATAAGTAAGGTACGCGAAAGTACTATGATCACCTTAAAGTGCGTGTTTGAGCAAAATGCCGCCCTAGTCGTTATTTGTGAGGTTTTTAGGAGCTATCAAAAGATATAGCAACTAATTAAAAAACAGAATCAGAAATGCGAAGTAACCTCCTCATAAAGTAAGCATTATTTTATTTGCGATTGACATTAATGGATAGGCAATTTATTAATGAACATTTTAATCTATAAGGACTAAAATTCAATTTTATAAAGAAAATATTAAAAAAATTGGGTGTATTTTTTTAACCGTAAAATTGTAACGAGAGCGCGTGGAGTGTAGGACTGAGCATAGGCGGACTGAATGCTCGCTAGGCGTAGCGCCTTAAGTTTTGCCGCACTATAAAACGAAAACTAAGAGGAAGATAGAGTCAAAAATTTCAAATTCCTATACTATAACTACCTAATATATTAACAAAACACTAAACAAGCTTTACCAGTAACTAGAAACACATCAAAAATCAAATTAAAAAAAATTAACTACACTACACAACACAATCGACTAAAATGTTTACTACAATGTCAACTGTCAAAATGGCGTCGATAAAGCAACGCATTTGGACTCTTTATTATTTAATTTACTGATGCAGTGAAGAGCTATCGTATCACAGAACCATCTATGCAAACATGGTTACTTACTCCTCGAAGGGTAACAACGCATCTACATTTTGATTTTGTCTATATTATATATCTACATAGTGTTTTACAATCAATTTTAAATAACCACTTACATAGAACTTAAACTCCGTATTAATAATCTCGTAGCTATCTTTAGTGCGGAGACAATCCAGCATGGCTGTAGATGGCGCTTGAGGGCAGTTTAGAAATTTGGCGAGACGGAAGGCGTTGCGGAGCGGCTCTCCAGGTGAAGCTTCGGCCCACGGGACTAAAGCGGTTCCCGATTCTGATATTGCCTTGTGGAATAATCCTGGAGACGAAATTATTGAATAAGCATTGGCCTTCAATTTTTAATTATGGTAATAAAGATTTCATAGTGAACCGCTTAGTGGCTCATTTAACGACAACGCAACCTCGAGTGTATTTCTCGTCGAAGATGCTTTGCTTAGAAACAATACACGCGTCGTTTTATTGCCGATGGTTTGTAACTTTTTATATAGGATTGGGTGACAAACGAGCACACAGTACACCTGATGGTAAGTGGTTGCTGTGGCCCATAGACATCTACATCTATCCTCGATTACGAATCAAAATGCAGATGCGTTGTCACACGTGAGGACTTAGATGGAACTACACACTACACTAACCATACGAAACACAGCATTAAGCTGCTATTTGACGCTGGTATTCTGTGAGAGCGTGGTTCTTCCCCGGTCGAGCCGGCCCATTCGTGCTACAACTATGCTACTAATATAACTGCAGCATGGCTCTACCAATTATACCTAGTGTAGATTTTGAAGTGTTGAGATTTCAAAAGGATTTTAACAGTCCGGCGCTCTGCCCCAATAAATTTCAACATACTGTACAAGCATTTACAAGTTATCGAAACACTGTCGATGTTTTTCTTTACTTCGATAAAATTTCAGACGGGCCATTGATCTTAGTCGTACTATTTAATTTTTAATCAAGGATAGATGTAGATGTCAATGGACCACAGCATCCAGTTACCATCAGAAGGATTGTGGCTCGCTTGTCACTCTTATTCTATAAAAACACAATGCATACAAAAACATTGGTTGACCCTGCGGGCCATTCCTGGAACTTCCCACTAATTTCAAATGCAAAGCGATCCAAATTTCACCAAATTATACTGCTAAATCTCGAAGTTATGTAAAAAAAAACGTTTTTTTTTCTTCAAATTCCTTCGATATCTCACAAACGAATGAACCGATTTTTATTTTCCATACGGCATTCGACGTCATTTTTTGAGGTTAAGAGCTGATTAATTTTTGAAATCGATCGGTTAAGCTGTTTAAAAGTTATTCCAAAAAAACAGTTTTTTTAAAAAATTAAATTTTGGGATTTCTCAAAATCTACTTGTCCGAATCAGTTCATATTATCACCAAATCTATTCCACATTGAGATCTTTAGAACGCAAACCGCACCTCAATCGATCAAAACATTCAAAAGTTATGAAAAGCTTACATACTTACACACACATACATATATACATCTGTACGGACATCCACGTGAAATTAGGCGGAATAGCTTCCTGGGATCTCAAAATCTGATGTTCTCGAGATCTGATGAAAAAAAATCGAAAATCGGGGTGAAAGCAATAGCTTCCCTATTTTTGTTTCTTAGCGGGAACTTAAAAATTAACAGCAACAATTGTCGAATAGAGATTAGATATTTGCCGTAAAGTTACTGACCGTACAATCATTATATCGTTTAGAGCACTTTCTCTCTTTAAAATCCAAGTTAATGCTGACGCAGACACTCTTTTCCATTGTCGATTAAATAGACGTGTGCTAGACCTTTCACAGACTTACATCATCGACAATATCTTCTAAGTACTTTTCTGGTCTGTTTTGAATTCTCTTTTCAATTTTGTTCGTCCCATTGGCGAGCTCTTTTGTGTTTTTAAGCTTTTTAAATAGTTTCTTGTTTTTAACGCCACGAAAATATGACACTATTTCCCAATATCGTTTACAATTAAAGTGGCTTACTAATCGTCAAAGTAACTTATAAGGGAATTAAAGGTTTTGGTTCGTGGATACTTTAAGTAAAAATATTAACGCTAGTTGTTGAGCCGTGGTAGCTCAGATGATTAGCGCTCGCTGTAAATTTCACAGTTAGCGAGCAAACCGGGTTCGATCCCCGCCGGCACCAATGAAATTATTAATTGCAATTTTAAGTGCTGATTTACCACGTGCTCGGCGGTGAAGGAAAACATCGTGAGGAAACCTGCATGTCTGAGAAATATGAAAGAAAAAATTCGAAGACATGTGAGGTTCACCAACACTAATTGGGGCAGCGCGCCGGTCACTTCCTTGCCCTAAAACCCTCTCAGAAATTAGGGAAGGCCCGAGCCCAGCAGTGGGCCGTATATAGTTAGGCCGTAACTTTAACTTTTAACTTAACGCTAGTTGTTAGCGTCATATCATTGACTGTTGTTACGTGAAAAAATTTATTTATATAGTACTTATATAAATGAAAGGACATGATGGTCTTTAAAATATATTTTGCGAAAAGAAAATTCAGAGCGTCGCTTGTCAACAATAGTCCAGGACTTAGATTCGTGAGTTCTGAGAATATAATTAAACTATACAAGCAATGCTGAAATCACAAACTTATTGTTATCTACATCAGACACTTTCGCAGTTGGTAATAAAGTATTAGATGCTAATTTTATATACATATATATACCAGCTGTTCCTTGCGACTTCGTCCACATGTTATTTATTACCATTAGATTTAATGTGTTTTAATTATATTGAAAACATGATAAAATAAATTGATATTTTAAGCTATGCGCGGACGAAGTCGCCCGTAAAATGACTGAATTAGCAGCAGTTTTCGACGTTAGCATCAAAACAATATTGGTCCATTTGCGTGAAATTGACAAGGTAAAAAGCTTTACAAATGGTTCTCCATGAACTCAATGAACACTGGCGCGTAATACGCGTCGAGAAGTGCCTTGCACTACTCAACGTGCAACAAACGAATGAATTTTGAACCGTATTGTTACCTGCGACTGTTGACATTGTAATAATGTATATATTTATCTGTCAAGTCTGTGTTATTGTATATCGGATATCGAACCTAATGGAACTTATTATTTACTTATAATATTTAAATGCACCTGTCATCAATTTCCCATCACTCCCAGGGTTGACTGGTAGCAAATGCAAATAGGCATTACGTCCGCCTTTTGTAATATTTTATTTTATAAGGTTGCAATAAAGAATAATTAAATAAATAACTGAAAAACATGTTATGGCAAGTGGAACTGAATGTATTTTGCTCTGACCACTCACGCATAAAGCGTCTTACTTTATGCTTCCTGATCAGCATTGCTAATGGAACAACTATTTAGTAATACGAGTTAGTTTATACCTACTCCACTTTAAAGCTGATTAATTTAGAATTTACTAAGCAATAACGTGCGTTCTATATGAGTGATAATCAGATATTACGAAACGGATTAAAACCAAAAGTCAATCTTTATTATAAATGAAATGGTGTGTCGGTTCCCTAATCACGCTTGATCGGCTGTTGGGATTGACAGTTTCCGGCATACGGGGCACGGCCTGACAGAGGCACCGACATGTTGAAACACAAAAATCTAAATAATAAGGTATATAATTTAGAATTCTGTGGTTGAAACGCATGTTTTGTATTTTAATACAGTTTAAACACATGTGTTTCCTATATATTGTATAAAAGCTAACCTAACCATTTGTCATTGAGTAAAAGTACATTTCGATGTTTTTAGTGTTTTTTTTACTTTCTCTTTAGATGAATGGCTTTGTCTCCAAACTTTGGGTTTTCTAGGGCTCTCATGGTCTAACACGGTGACTGACTGTAGGTATTTATTGGCACACAATATCTTCTAAAGTCAATTCTAATGTATAAAATAATTAAAACGACTTCAGAAGCAATTATGAAAAAATAGTTTTGTCCCTTTTAGTTATTTGAAGGTCTTTTTATTTTTCATTAAAAGTTTTTAATTTTTGTCCCGTTTGAGTGGTCTAAGGTATATGATAAGTACAATATTACAACTCGAATATAATTTATTTGTTACATTAAAAACACCATGCTCTATTTGACATCAATAGAGGTGTAATTTTTCTCCCAATTTATATGGGACTATTTCTACAGTATAACCAATTAATAACAACAAAAACTTTTTCATTAAAATACACAAAAACTACTGGTCAGATCTTGATCAAAATTATATGGGACCTCACGAGAAGCACCAGCTTTTAAATAAAAAAAAGAATTATCATAATCTGTTCGCCTAGAAAAAGCTTGAATTGAGAACTTCCTCCTATTTTTTAAGACAGTTGAAAAAAAATATTCAGCCGTTCAAAGAATCTACTCCATTATTTAAATTGCACTAAAAAGAAACAGGTTAAAAACAAGAAACCAGACGTATTGTCTTTTGATGTAAAAAAACAACAAAAATTAAAAACAAAAAGAAAATGCAGTTGCGATCGCCGATACACCTGCAATAAAGACCTGCAAAGTGAAATAGTCACAACGGCAAATATTTCCTAAAATGGGATAGAACTCAAATCTTTTAATCTGTACATATAAAAATATATAGAATTTAAGTCTTTAAAACGTCGCCGCGAAAAAATGCATCTCCTTTCATCGAATAGTATAGGACTGACACCACTAACGAAAGTGGAATTTTGATATGGGTAAATTCATGTCTTTATCTTGAATTTGCTTGTTCAAAAAAACGATTGTTTAATTTTGACTCGATCATAATTATTTGCGAAAACACCTATAAAAAAATCGCTATAGTTGAAATTACTAAGAAATTACTTAATCTATATGCTTGAGAATCACTTCAATATATCCATAACATCAATATTCGTAATTTACTTGCTCATTATTTTGATTACTTAAATCAATTTTTTTAAATATTTTAAGATTCTGATAATTTCTAAGCGGTTCTAATCGTTGCGTGCGCTGCGCAATTTTAGACCTTATGACGGCGTTTTCTTAAGTTTTTATAGAAATTATGTATTCACTCGGTTCAGTGCGACAATACATGAGTAAATAGCCCGGAGCCATGTATTCGATGTGTCGTCATAATATAGAAATGGCTGGTTTATAGTCGTGGTACTATTATTTATTCTGTGCTCAGGTGGTTATCTGCATTTTATTAAGACATACTCGTATACAAACATTTTAAAAAATTTTAAAGTCTAAGTCTGTACGGGCAATTTATTCGGAATTGGTAAATCGATTGTGATGAAACTTTAGCCATAAATAAAGAGCAATTCCAGGAGAGGT